AAAATGATAAATATTGTCAAAAATTATCTAAATAATAAAACACAGATTAGGAACAAACACTTGAAAACTTAAAAAGCCAGCTGGATGCGGTGGCTCACACCTATAATCCTAGCACTTTGGGAGGCCAAGGTGGAAGAATCACTTGAGACTGGGAGTTTGAAAGCAGCTTGAGCAATATAGTGAGACCCTTTACAAAAAATAGAAAACTTTGCTGGGTGTGGTGGTGCATCCATGCAGACCCAGCTACTCGAGAGGCTGAAGCAGGAGGATCACTTGAGTCCTGTACTTGGAAGTTGAGACCCTGCTTCAAAAAAAAAATTATATCTCATAATGTTCAGAAACCTTATATAAGGTGGTCCTTTCTCTTTTGCCACAAGATAGGATGCCTTATTTGAAAACATCCAACACAACCGTGCATCTAAAGGATATAAAATAGAGCACTTAAATATTCTTTTTCTAGTAAGATGGACACCTTCATACATAGATTATCACATATTTTGCACAATAACCTCTGGAAACAGTTTAATTATGTGGTCTTAATTCCTCTGAAGTACTTTTCCTGTCCAGCTATTGCTCCTTTTATTTTCAGGGGTTTACGGGAAAGTTCAGCTTAACAGTGCTTATCCTCAGAAATCGTGGACACGTCTTGGTGCTGATATTGCCTCAGGAAATGAGAGGTAAGAAATGACAGTAAGTTTGGACCTTTTTCTTGGTTTGGTTTGCTACTGCTGAGGTTTTGTTACAATATGAAATTGAATTTTAGGTTAAGCATTATAATTCAAGGATGAGTAAGTGGAAAAATAAGGGATGATAAGGAATTTTTTAACAATCTCTGTAACATAATAGAAGGAGGAAAAAACATGCAAAAGGTAAGACAGGAACATAGTTTATTCCAGGAGTAAATTTTAGATAATACATATTTATTGCTGTCAATAAAATCTCAAAAAATATGAATTCCATGAGATAAGAGATGAAGGTGAGAACACAATAGTGTGAGTTGAAAAGGTAGCTGGTTAAGATGTAGACAGAAATAAAATAGGAGTGATATGAAGAATCTTATGAAATGTAATAATGCATTGGAGGCAGTAAAGAACAGAATCACAACTGTTTCAAACTGAATAGGTAATATGAAGAACAAACTGATGGCAATCTATCATAACACAGAAGATAAGACTGGGAGATAAAAACGATGAAAGCTAAGGTATTATAAATAGAGATCAGAAAATGGTAATATAGATAACATGTCCCTTTTGATAAGAGCCTAGAATAACTACAGTAGAAAGAGTAATGAAAATTATAACTGAAATACACATAGCAAATCTGGGAGTGAATTACATTTAATTTGAACACATCAATATCAAGAATAATGATTGCTTCATTACATTATCCTCATAGTACAAGAAAAAACAAGGTGAAAAAAAAAAAAACAAAAGAGAGAAACATAAAGCTTGCTAGCCCTAGAATTCTCCTCTATACTATTACATGCAGGAAGATAGTGGTGCCACATATAAAACTGTTTGAGAAAAAAAGATTATGACCAAAGAATGGGCCACCCATGTTAGTACACATGTGAAAGCAAACTGAAGAGGTGTTTTGCTTTGGAAGAACTGAAGAGAAAGTAAAGTTTTCTAATAAAAAGGTTGAACTGAATTTAAAGTTCAAGAATAAGAATAAAACTTGAGACTAACATAAAGCATTGATGATAAACGTTGAACTAAGTTAAATATGATGGTGTAACTATGGTTATTAAAACAAGAAAAATTCTAATAATGGTTCTTGTAAAAAGAAACTACATAGAATTTGAAAAGTTAGTATATTAGTTAGATCTCCATTTATATAAAATACTTATAACCAATAGGTTATGTGTGTGTGTGTGCGTGTGTGTCCTATTGGTTTTATATATATAAAAACAAATATATATGTGTGTGTATATATGTGTACGTATATATATGTATATAATATATAGTAAAAAAATATATAGTATGTATGAAGAGATGTATTTCAAGGAATAGGCTTACACAAATATGGGGGCTGGAAAGTTTGAGATCTGTAGGAAAGGCCACCAGCTTGCAAAGTCCTGAGGAAATGATGTTGCAGTCTTGAGGCAGAATTTCTTCATCCCTGGAGACACCTCAGTTTTGCATCGAAGACCTTCCAACCGATTGATGAGGCTCCCCCACATTATTGAGGCTAATTTCCTTTATTTAAAGTCAACCGATTCTGTTAACCACATCTACCAAATGCCTTCACAGCAACACCTAAATTAATGTTTCATTGAATAACTGGGCATTATAGCCTAGCAAATATGACACATAAATTAGTCATCACGGTTCAAAATTCTCAGATAAAAATCTGAAACTATAGCCATAGGAAGTAAATATGAGATAATTTATTCTATTAGAATTTGAAATAGGATATATACCTTCCAAATCACCAGAGGGGAGAAAAAGAATGAAAGAAACCATAAAATAATTAGTAAAATAGGAAAAGAGAAGAAAATGAAACAATAAAAGAATAAAAACAACAAAAGGTTATATAAAAGAAAACAGAAATAAGAAAGTAAGAATAAATCTGTCAGTTATAGAAATAAAATGTTTGTTAAAAATGACACAACAGAGAAAATAGGGTTAAAAGTCAAAATATAATGATAATTTTTTTACCAGAGGAAAATTTAAAACCAATTCAGAAGAAATTTAAAGTTAAGTATTGGGTAAAAATGAATTATTGACATTTAAAAGCAAAATGAATGGACCTCAAAATTATGCCTCTAATCCTTGCTTGGGTGAGGCAAAGACATAAAATGTAACTGAAATGTTTGTACCCTCATAATATCCTGAAATAAAAAAAAATAAAAAAAAAATTTCAAAATAGAAAGGATGTGAGAAATCTGTGAAAAAAAATTATTAATAAAAAACATAAAAATCAAAATGTATCAAATTGGTTAAATAATTACACTTTACATTAATAAAGACTTCAATCTCCAGTGAGACTCTAGCAGTCAGAAAAGTTTTATGCCAGATAACAAAATATAGAACTAGATAAAGAAAATCTCTAAGAAATGTAGGAGGAAATTGAAAGAAACAAAAATAGTCATCTAGGACATTTGCTTACCTCTTTCAGTTTTTGACCTTTTATGTGGGTTAAAAAAAGATAAAGAAAATTTGAAAACTTGAATAATATAATAAAAGCAATTTAATTTACATATCAAACTCCTTTACCCTAGAACATATGTATTCATAATTAAAATCTTAATAATACATTTTAATAATAACAGGATGTGGCAAAATATAATAGAGATTAAAACAGCATAGAAGCCAACAATCTCTATTTCTTACAAAATAAAAAAAGAAAAATTCAACCTTTTCTAAATAACTTTTATATCAAAGAGGACATCAAAACTTTACCAACAGAGTATCTGAGAGATCACAATAATGAGACTACTCTATGTGAAATATTACCAAACATGCCATTATGTTAAATGTTTTCATGATTGAATAAGAAAACAAGAAAAAGCAAACTAAGCTGTCAATATAAGAAGCTAAAAACAAAATAACCAATAAGTATAATGAAATCAGTTGATGCAAGATAATGGCAGAAATTGGTGAATTAAAAAGTAGGAAATTAGTAGAGGTGAATTTTTTCCAAGAAAGAGTAGTTTATCCTTTAATAACTTTAATCATACCAAAAAACTCAATATATAAAATCAAAAATGAGAATTCAAATATAACAAGTGCTGAAGAGATTAAGATTGTAATATAAAAATATATACATTCATAAAGTATCACTTTGACATTTTTGGAAAAATGAACTATATATAAAAATACAAATTATCATAGTTGGCTAGAGAAGAATAAAATCAAAAGAGCCAATAATGGTGAAAGACATAAAGTTATCAAAGATTGATCCTCAATAATACCTTTGGCTCAAATAAATTTATAGCATATTCTTTCAATCATTTGAATATCAGATAATTCGTATGTTATATAATCTATTTCATAGCATAGGAATATATGTGAAGCTTCCCAGTTAATTTTAGGGAACAAATATAAAATAATTTTTAAAACAACTGCTAAAGATAACTCAAAATAAGGAGACTGAGACACCATCCAAGTAGAATGTAAAAATC